CGTGAGTGGGCGGCGGCGGCTGCTGCTGATCCAGCCTCCCTCCCGCAGGTGCTGGAAGCCGGGATCCTGAGCTGGATATCCCCCGAGGAGCGCAAGCGGCAGGAGGTGAGATGCTGCGTGTCCTGGCAGGGGAGCAGCCGCCTCCTGTGGAAGCCACGGCACTAAGATGTTTTCCCTCCCAGTGGTTTATTGATGTGGCCTGAAACCTGCCTTGGTGTGGGCCAGGCAATGCATGAGGTGGCACAGGGAATGCCAGGCTGTTGGAGCAGAGTCATTTCTAGTGTTTTTACACCACTGACATGTAAATAAAATACAGCAGGTTTTAACTCTCTGCCTTGGTTAGGCACTTACACCTTCCCTGCTCTGGTTTTTTTTCAGGCAATGTTTGAGATCATCACTTCTGAGTACTCCTACATGCACAGCCTGAGCATCCTGGTGGGCCACTTCATGAAGTCAGAGGAGCTGAAGGAGACCATGACTCAGACAGAGCACCACCACCTCTTCTCCAACATCAGTGACATCCTGACAGTCAGCACCAGGCAAGTGGGGCAGCAGCTGGGGAGGGACCAGGCAGGCCTGGAGGAGGGACTGGGGAGCTCATTTTATTCACTGCTCGAGGGAGGGATCCGGTGGGGGGGGGAACAGAGGGATCCCCATGGGAATGGAGGGAGCACATGCCCTGGGAAGTTGTGAGCTGCATTCCCAGTCTCTGCTGCTGGGAGTGTGCCAGAGATGTGGGAGTCTTGTCTACACAGAGATGACCCCATGCAAAAGGGATCCTGGGCTTTGTCTCCTCTGGGAAAACTGTGGAAAAGTTACAATGGGAACGTGGTTGAACCTGAAGCTGTTTGGTTTGTCCAGCTCTCATGAGTCACGCAGTGAGGTTATTTAAAATCCTCTCCTTAGCTTCTTTGGAGACCTAGAGAAGAGGTACCAGGAAAACCTCCTAATTCCTGACATCAGTGACATAGTGGAAGAACACGCCTCGAACCACTTCAATCCTTACATCAGCTACTGCTCCAACGAAGTCTACCAGCAGAGGACTCTCCAGAAGCTGCTGTGAGTTCTGCTGTGTTCTCAGGCCCTGGCCAAGGAGCTGATGCCAAGGAGCTGGTTCCCAGGGGCTGTGGGGCTCTGCTGGCTGCAGACAGGACCGAGGGGACCGTGATGTTCCTGGGGCTCCCTCATCCCATGGTTGTGTCCCTTTCCTCTCCTTTCCAAGCAGAGTTTAGCTCACAGACCTCAGCTTGTGTTGGGTGATGAGGATGTGGTTTGTGTTGTAAGAACGGTGAAGGAGGGGGAGATGTGGGGTGGAGGCAGGTGGGTCTTGCCAAGCTCAGTGGCACTTTGGGTCTGTTAGGGACACCTGTGGAAGATGTTCACATTTGTGTCCACTGTTGTCTTTACCTGCCTTTTGGTAGACTCTACATCTCCAGGTGTTTTCACCCCCTGCTAATGGGTCAGTCCTGTTCCCACCCAGCTCAGCAGGGCACTGAGCTCCAGAGGCAGTGCTATCATTGCACTGCACTTCCCATGCCTGAAAAGCTGCTGGGAAATCTGGGGAACTGAAAAATAGAGTTAATGGAGCTTTCTTGTCCTGTTCCAGAAACACAAACCCCTTATTTAAAGAGACCTTGAAACAAATTGAGAGGAAAGCAGCCTGTGGGGGCCTGCCAATGATATCGTTTCTCATCCTCCCTATGCAGAGGGTGACACGGCTTCCTCTGCTCTTAGATGTAAGTAAGTCACACGGTGGCATTGCTGGCACCTCGGAAGAGGTGACCATGTCATACCCACCTTCCCTCTTTGCCAAGGCTGGGACAGCCTTCTGCTTGGATGTCCATCCCTCTGGGATGCCCAAGCCTGTGTTTAGGATTTAGATGCAGAGCAAACTGCTGCTCTGACACCCATCAGAGGTGCAGCTTCAAGCTCAAGGAATGACACATTTTGTCTCAGTGACATCTATTTGGGTGACCTGAGGTTCTTCTGTGCCCTGTGCTTGGGGTGGGGTGGCATGAGCCTGGTTCATTAATGGTGATTTGGCTCAGGTAGGGCAAGCAGGTCTTGCTGCAAGCTTCACTGACAACCAGAACTTATGGACCCAGCTGCTCTAAACAGCAGAAGGGCTGGATATGGGATTGGCAGTGACTGCTCCCAGTCTGTAATGGGCTGCCAGGAGGGGGGATGCCCAGTGTGTGGCGTGACAGTGATGCTCATGCACGTCTGATGGGAAAGGCCCAGATTCCCAGCTCCAAGCACTGTTAAATCTTGCTTTGAGGGCTGCTCTGCTGGCTTTGGGAACAGCTGGGGCACATATGTCATCCTGAAGCCCCAGGGAAGAGCCTGGCACACATCTCCTTCTGGCAATGCCACTAAAGCTTCTCACCTTGAAATCCTAGACTGTCTGTCAGAAAACAAAAGCAGGCACTGCAGTGTATGGAGCTGCCACCAGAGCTCTGAAAGCCATCAGCAAGGTGAGGCCTGGCTGCCAGCTCTTCACCTCCTGCTCTGGCCTCTCCCTTTTCCTCCTGCACTTGGAATGTCTCTGCTGGATGCACACGGCTGCTCCCTCCCTCACCTTTTTCACCTGATCTTGTTTTTTGCTTTTCCTTCTCATCTTTTCTTCTTTCCTCTGTGGCCCATTTTTTGTCCTTCCCTTTGGTGTCACCTTCTCCATCACTGCTCTTCCTCCTCAGAACCTCCCTCCAGGTCACAGTGAGCTGTGACACTTGTTATGCTTTTGGAGATTTAGGTGAAGAGCAATAAACCAAACAAAGAGCAAAGCACAGGGAAGGAGCAGTGTGAGCAGTGTTGGGACATCAGGGCTGGAGAGACCACACAAGGGGCCTCTTGGCAGCACAGAGTGTGGCTCAACTTCACCCACCTGTGGAAGGTTTCTGTCCTCCCCTCTCACTGTCTGACGGCTCATCCTCCTGTCTGAATCTCCACTCTTCAGGAGATCACTTCTTCCTCTTCATGCTGCTCCTCAGTGCAGCTCGGGTGTGGTGGTTGCACTTGGGCCCTTTTCCAAGCAAAGGAGAGGTCTCATCTCTCTCCTAGAGACCTCATGGGGCAGGAGAACCTCCAGCTGTCTTTCCCCAGACATGACTGGAAACCTCTGTGGAGACGTGGCTGTTTGTCCTGCTCTGGGAAGCAGAGCAGCCCCAGCCCTGTGCCAGCAGCACTTTTGCTGGTGTGGAGGACTGGATGGTCTGAGCATCCCACCATTCTCCACTCCCACCCTGGTGTTTTTCCTTCTTCTAGCTGGTTAAGAACTGCAACGAGGGAGCTCGTGCTATGGAGAGGACAGAGCAGATGTACACCCTGCAGAAACACCTGGAATTTGGAAAAAAGAAGGTGAGGACTTGTGGCAGTGGTGGAAAAACCTCTTCTGGGGGTTTAATATTAGAGTTTAGTGTTGGGCCCATCCTGGGAATCCTTGACTGGTGGCAGCATCACAACCTCATGCACAGGGTGACCGTTTTTTCCTGCTGTTCTGACTTAAATAGAAGTTTCTGGGCACTCGTGGGCAGGTTTCTAAAGGGCTGGAATGAAGCCTTGGTATAGTATGTGGTTCAGGGGTGCCAGAGCAGGACGCAGGGCTGCTCCGCTTCCCCCCTGCCTCCTGGAAAGGCTCCTGGAAAAGACGTTTAAGAGTATTTGATGTGTCCACCTGCTGACCCCAGGGTGCACTGGGAGTTCACATGCAGGTTCTGGGCTTGATTTCACCTGCTGCTTGTGAGGCAGGTGGTAAGTCAGCCTCTCCTGACCCCATTCCAGCCCTTCCCGCTGATCTCCGCGTCCCGCTGGCTGCTGAAGCGGGGGGAGCTGCTCCTGCTGCTCTCGGAAGAGGCCGGGATCTTCCGCCGCGGCGCCGGCAGGCTCTGCCACCTCTTCTTGTTCAACGATGTCCTGATCATCACCAAGAAGAAGAGGTAAAGCTGGGGAGGAGCCTTCCTTTCCCGACGTAACAATGAGGGTATTAACGCCTCAGCTTCCCGAGCAGCCTGAGGAAGTCTCGGCATCCCCCTGGTTTGACCTTTATTGGAGTGTCCCTCGTTAGCCAGAGGGAAGTGCCCAGCTCCACAGCCCTGCTTTAGTTTGTGGGTGGCTGGCAGAGCCATGTCCCACCCCTGGGCGTCAGCTCATGTCCTTGCAGTGATGGTGACCTCTTGGTGTCCACTGAGCTTCACCCACTGGGCCTTTGACCCTGGGGTGGCAGCTCAGTCCCCACCAGTGGCATCGCTGCACAGGACTCTTGTGTCTATTCTGCAGTGAGGAGAGCTACACTGTGATGAACTATGCCACGCTGGACCAGGTCACCGTGGAGAAGATTGAGAATGTGGACCCACCTTCCCCTCCTCCTGGGAAGAGTGGGCACCTGCTGCGGGTGGTGATGGAGAAGGACAGTGAGGGCAGGCGGGAGGAGATCGTGCTGTCAGCAGAGACGCTGTGAGTGGCCGGGGAGGCTTTCATCCTTCTTGTTTGTGGGATAAACTGGTGCCCTGGAAATCCCCTGAAGCACCTTTCCCTCCCTGCTGCTCCTCCCAGGAAGGTGAACCTGTGCCAGCTTCTCCCCTTGCTCTGTTTCTTTCTCTTTGAGATTTCCCTTACAATTCCCATCTGATGTTTCCCCTGTCATTAGCACAGCAGCTGGGCACTGTGTGCTCCTCGCCAAGTCTCTGCACAGGGAACGCTCTGATCCAGTGCTTGCACAGTCTGACTTCCCTTGAAAGCCTTCATCCTGCTGGGAATCTCCCAGCTGCTGCTTGCAAGACAGCTGCTGTGTCTGAGGCTCTCTTGGTGAGGTGGGCTTTCCCTCTGCCAGGAGCGACCGGGCGCGCTGGATCACTGCACTGATGCACAGAGAGAAGGAGAAGCCTGACACCACTCCCAGAGGAGGTACCCGTGTGCTGGAGGCCAGGCCTGGCTGGAATTCCAGGAATCTCCGAGGCTATCAGGGCTTCCCTTCCTGTGTGCTTGGAGGGGAAGGGAGCAGGACCAGCTGTGCAGTCCTGGCAGGGTGTGCAGCCCCAGGGGGGGTCCCCACTGAGCTGGGCTGTGGCCAGTGCCACCTCACCCGGTCCCTGCTGTCCCCTCTGCAGACCTGAGCCAGGTGGAGATCACCCGGGCATACCTGGCCAAGCAGGCAGACGAGCTGTCCCTGCAGCAGGCTGACGTGGTCCTGGTGCTGGCTGAGGAGGACGGTGAGTGCTGGCACGGGGGAAGTGGTGCCCGGGGAAGGGTTACCTTGGCCTTAGGTGAGGGGGAAGAGCTTCAGTGAATGTTAACAATTTCTGGAG